TATTCTAGTTGAGACTTTTTTCCGTTTCTTCAGTCAACAGATAAACTTTTGATTTACCGGAAGGGTTGGACTAAAATATACAGGAGTCAGGAAATCAGCCCAAGGTGGAGTGAAAGGTTAATTCTTCAGTACCATTTTTACTAGCTCTAAGATATCTCTTAACAGAATGCTATGAGTGTCAAATTTATTGGGTTATGTTAAACAAGGATCCATCATTAGACGTTTTTGAAATTGAAGCCAAAGCCCTTGGGTTTTGTGGGACTTTTGTGTGTTTTGCGCACTTACAGCCTTGTTTTACACAATAAAATCAGTAAAGATTGTTGTATGCTCTACTTGCTGTCCTGCGCCTACAAATTTTACCAGTTTGACAACTTTCAATGGGCTAGTTCAGTTCCTGCTGGGCATTCTAATTTCAACTGCAATTTAGATGCTACCGGTGATGCGCATTGGATGTTTAAAGATGCCATTTGAGGTGCTCCACTCTACGTTCTCCTCCGTAGAAATCAAACCCAAACTTTCTAATAATGTTTTCCACCATATACAAAAGTAGTATAGTAGTAGTAATATTCCCCTAAATCAAATAGGTAAAATAATCTCCACCGTTATAAAAGGGGAAGTGTTAACCTAGACCAAATCAACTGCATCCTCTGGTCTAAACTCCAAAACCTGGTGTATCATGGTGTATCGAGTAGTTTAAACCCAATGACTCCCAGGAAAAATTCTATTAAATTCAGTACAAAAGATCTCGCAACATTTCCAACCCTCACCACTATAGAGCGACTAGATGGCTGCTTTGCGGTGCTATAGAGCGCTAGATGGCTGCTTTGCGGTGGACCAGAACCAGCTTCAGATATATGTGATTAATTAACAAGGGCTAACATTACTCCTCACATTGAGTTTGCGAATGCAGTTCACTTGGTCTTTCATGAAATTCAATCACAGATTTAACTAGTTAAATCAAATTGGCATTCACGGCAGTGCTCTAGGCAAAACCTTAAGTTCCGATAATACGTGGAGTCCACTAAAAACGACTGGTGTGTTTCGCTTCTAGCTTTTTCCTGTGATGTCCTGTTCAGCTAGTCACATCCTAATTCTGGCATATCAATTACGTTTGCATCTAATTTCAGCTCGTGTTTTGACGTTGTCTTATTAACATAATATGCTGATCATGTGTGCTTTCCCAAACGTCCTACATGTAGCCCGTGATCGATACGAGAAAGGCCAAAACGGAACTTGATACTGAGCCGGGCTTTGAGGTTTTTGAGTGGGCTGTAACACGAGGAAAAGGTGATTCGAACTATAGGTCCGTGCACTTAGCTGTATCCGTAAACAGACAGACAGATAGACCAAAGCGTTGCCAAGTATAACATAGAAAGGCCGGAGTAAAATATACGAGCCTAACAATGAAATAACTGGTGCGTTTAAATGGAACATTGAAATACTCTAGAAATAAAAACCGAAAGGAGATGGTTGCCTCCCAAGTTTTGCATAAACTAACTGAAGTAACAGCCAGCACTGAAATTAGACGGCGAATTGAGAAAAATGGATTAGACCCTAGACTTTTCCTTATCCAGAAGAAAGTGAACGGCTTTAGCGTGACTGAACTGCTTGGGTTTCTGCAATTGTCATTTACATAAACTGAAAGTTGGGGAAAACATAGTTTTGGTGAAACACTTCGCAGTTCATGAACAGCTTTGGAGAAGCTGACTAAAATGCTGACTACGGATGAACGGCCTTTCACAGTAGAAGTAGCACGGAATTTGCACTGGACATACTCAAGTTGAGCAGCACAGTGCTAAATCGCCCTCGTAGTCAGTAAAAGCTTTTGTATGTGGTTAACTAGTCCCAAGCTGAAATTTTAGAGAGAAAATGTTGAAGTAGAGGGTGAACAAAACGGAGCATTCAGTGCGGAACAGTCAACGCGATTACCGGATTTTCTCTGAAAACAAAATTTGTGTGGTGACACACACACTTTGAAAACTCCGAATTTAAATAATCCGAGTCACAAACCCATACATTGGTCTGACAACTTCTTTCTGTGTCCGAATGTTCTAGCATTTTGGCCAAATTCGCATTTAGCATTTGTAAAGGTTTTCTCTCTATTCAAAGCGTATTTGATATGGAAAACTTAGAGTTCAGTTCTCAAAAATATTAGTTTGTATCAAACGGTGCTGGTTACATAGCTTGGATTTTAGCTAAACTACAAAAACTAAGTTAAATTGATAAAAATTCTTTAGCTAGAGATGAAGCTTCACATAGGGAAGGCAATCCGTTAGAGTTCCTCCTGAGTGCACAGCATACTCAGGAGTCGACAGGTGCTGGTAAACATTTTTATATAACCTGGAAGAAAGAATTCCCGCCTAGAAGGTTACGAAAGATATGTTAGCCATAGGCATGCAGGAAACGCAACCTTAAAATCCAAAAGACATTCTGGACAGTGATTTGATAGGTCCGGGAAACATTCACGGCTGGCTGATCAGATAAGTCGGGGGTACCCAGAATAAATACGTGTGCTTTGCTGACCCTCCGTAAGGACCCTACCCGAGACAAAGTTAACTCTTAACACTAGATGCAACACTGTATATTGCATCCAAGAATTTGTTGCGTAAGTTATTATAGGCCTCAGAAAACGAAATAAAAGCAAACAAAAATGATAACGCAAAAGTCGGTTGAAACATAAATGTAAAATATAAGCTTTACACACAATTTTCTGCCTCCTTAAAATGTGGGAAGCATACATTGGTGAGCAGACGTATGCCAGACTGAACAACAGCAGTGTGATCCGGTTACGCCATTCTTTTTTCTTTAACAATAATGATCAAAACGAAGCTTTAAAAAGAAAGCCAACGTTTTTCGTGCATAAAGCTTCAAAACGAGAGGTTCAAGGGAATCTGAGTTATGCACGAGATTCAGCACAATTCAGCTACAGCCCAGCGGTTATTTTTGGTTTGCCATATGTGGAAGATATAAAAGAATCCCTAACTGACAAAGCCGGGATAGTTCTTATCTGGTTGACATGGCTTACTGATGCACGCATTCAAGAAGAAAATCGAATGGACGGATAAAATCCACCGGTATTTGGTTGTCGGTGGGTGTGGTGTATGAATAAACTGGAGGAAGTAGATTAAATTAAAACAGTGTAAAGATGAAATATTGAGGTGTCAACACTCAGTGCAAATCCGAAGTTGAATCGCCTTGCATAGCACTTTACTGATTGTTTGTTATGTATTTGAAATGGCGAAATCAGTTGGCCACAAGAGAGTTTACGATATGTTTCTGTTCAAAATAAAAAAGTTGATAGGTTTATTAGAACCTACAACGTGGTTATTGTCCAACACTCTTCTTCGTTGACAGGAGCACTATAGAAGGGTACCACCATACAGTGTTCAACAAGTGTCCGGATATCGGATCCGTGTGGTTGCTTCGGGTTGCGCCTACTGCTTCGTGTTCCATGTTGTTTCAGCGTCTGGCTAGTGTAGCTGGATTCCCAACCAAATGGATATATTAAGTTTAGCGGAGCATCCAAGATTGCTTCATTCTGCTTCAGTGGTGTCAGCAAAAGCTTTGGCCCTCTAACGAAAACGCATCGGACAGCATCAAAGAAAATCTGTTAGGCGTTAAACGATAGCATCAGCAAAATCTTTGGCCCTCTAACGAAAACGCATCGGGCAGCATCAGAGAAAATCTGTTAGGCGTTAAACGATAGCAGAAGTGGAAGAGATATATTTGATAGAAGTGCTTGTGCTGACAAGTAGCGTCATTACTAGGGGATCTTCCGGAATTTAAGCTAGTAGAAAAATTTGTAAAGCACTTTTTAACCCTAACTCAGTGGAGCAGAAATGTATCTGTTTAACCCAACAAAATCTGTGAAAACACTGCAAAATAACGATAAACACTTTGTAAATGTGAGTTAGAGATACCATCACTGATTGGACCAACGGGCGATAGTTTTAGTAATCTTCGTAGACTTACAAGTTTATGGAACGGAAAACTTGTTTTGCACTCCGTGCATTTATTCAAATGCATTTGTCCGTAGTGTGTAAGTGCACAAAATAAACGGGAAAGACTAGGCATCACTCACAAAAAGTGCACCGCACCACCGCAACTTTGTAAGTTGCTTACGAAACTTCAGTCATCTCCACACTTTCAATCACATTAAGGGTAACAAAACTTACTATGGCTTGTATCGGAGTTCACTCTACAAGAAAGCACACAAGATGGAAGGTTGTTGTAGGGGCAAAGGACGAAAACCGGATGCGTAATTTTTTCCCACTCTTAATTGTTTTTTTTCGAGGACTATTCAGGCATTTTGTTTTCAATATGAATTAATTTCCTAACTTGGAATTTCAGTTGCTTCGGACCAACCAAAATAGTGTGTCCGACGGGCTCAGCTGCTGCGCTGTGTTGTTTGACATGTCACAAGAGTAAAAATAAAATCGTACTTGTACGCACGTACAAAGTGTGCTCCCAGTATCGAAGGACCGCTGAGACCAAATTTATATAAAGGGGTCTTTCATCAGAAGCGTTCACCACAAGCTATGAACGTTCAAAAGATCTACAGTGGTTTATCCAAATTTAATTCTCAGAGGTATTAGGCACACCTTCAACAACAATCACTAGTTTCGACCAGGCGACATCGAAATTCGTGGCGGCGATAATCAAAGTGCGTGAATTAACCATCGAGTATAGAGAGCCACCTAAAGTGGTTACTTGACGCATAGCTTCAGGGAGCCATAACCCACATTTTCAAAAGTACTGAAGCTAGTCCCGGCCATCTAATCAGACTAGCTGAAACTGAGAAATTAAAGACCTCTTATGGTAACTTTACGAAGTGAGAACTAAGCTATTCCTATTTTTTCTACTGTTTGTACAAAAAACGATAACTTCCTACTGCTGCTTAAAAATCCTTTTATATAAACATTTAGAATGAAACATATATGAAGGCCAGGTGTTTTCTGTCAATCAACCTTTGGTTATCATTTTGATATATTTTTTTCAGAAAAACAGCCGAAAACGAAGTTCATTTGCGAAGTAGCCGAAGCCACGTTATATGCACGATTTACTATCACGAGGTGAGTAACAAATTGGAAAGTAATGAAAGCTGCCCACAATGTCCAATTTTATAGTTGCTTTGTCACATTTCTTTAAAGAACTGAATTACCAGCTTCCAGAACAATCATATTCCCGCGGCAGGCGAACTTTTTGAAACATCTTCCAATAGGAAATCCAAAAACAAGTAGAGAGTCTTGAGAACGAGGCAAAAAATGTATTTTGACTCTGCTGACCTCAGTCCTGGTAAATTACTGAGGCACGCTCTCTGGGAGGGTTACCTAGGCTTTGAGTTTGTGGCAGTTTATTAGGCTGTCATTGCATTATACGCTAGAGGTTGGAAAAATTTAATTTAGCGGTCAGTTGGCCCGGAACAGAATGTAAGGTGCATCCAGATTTCATTTCACAGCCTCTGCTCAGCCCACGAATAGCATAGGGCTTTAATAAGCGGCTACCCATCTTCTTGGTTCACAGTCAAAAACTGGGTCTCCAAAACGGAATAATTTGGCATTTATCTAAGTGCAAAAATATCCCAGAAGCTGAGGCCACACAAGTGATATACGGACAAGTGATACTTCGTCTTACTTAATACGGGCTTCCAGATTTTCACTCTCATTTGTGTACACAGTATAACATAGAAAATTTTAGAATGACAGTTTTGACGAGCGGAAGTTGTAACCCTTATATTTTTTACACACAATCTGGGCTAGCTGTGGGAAAGGTGGGCTGCAACGCACTGCATCGAGAATGACCTATTTGGTTCTTGACGTCATCACTCCGAAGTTGTATCTGAGTGTATAATTCTTTTTTGACGGTAGCAGTGCTTTCTATGCAAGTGGATTGTGAGGAGCGCCTCGTTATGACAGCTCCAAGATCCTTGCCCAATGGGAGTATAAAAATAACGGTGAACACGAACCGTGGAAACCGATTAATGTGCACGTGTAAATAGTCCAAGCGCATTTGTTCACCTCTGACTAAGTTATTCCGTATGCTAGAAGTGTAAGCATACACCTGGGAAGACTTATGATAGACTTTTCCAGGCATTCATCCAACAAAAAACAAAAAGACAAGTACCTTTCCCTTTCCGGAATCTTACGTGAAGGTGATTTTAGAAAGCACACTATTGAATCTATTAATGATTTGGTCTAAAGATCTGACATCCTTGCAAACCTGTCGTCTAAATACTGTTTTCTGAAATGCTTCAGATTAGATCGCGTGTCACTGTTTCACATTTCAAGAGAGAAAATAATTGAATCCGGGAAGTATTTTTGCTTCTTTCAAAAGGCACAGCGAGTTGATAAATTTAGCGAAAAGCTATCTTTAGTTGCCTACATAAAATATAGATATCCGTGGCTGTGACAGCATCACTAAAGGAAAAACAGAGCGATGCGACGTGAGGCTGGCTGGGGTGAGTGTCAGTGTAGGTAGGGGGTTTGAGTCAGCAGCATGTACGAAGATCTCGTTGATGGATTTATCTCTCACTGGAGGCTAGAATTCGACATTTTTCCAAAGGACAACACGGCAGTAGATGAACAACTGAGATCAAACAGTTGGTCGTTAAGTTGAGCATTAAAAGCAACTTGGATTGGAGAGTATCCTACTCTCTTAGTATATGTGCTCCCTTGAAAGGAGCCATACACTCTGAAACGTGTTATGAAAAGGACCTACTCTTATCAAGTAATGGCCCTTTCATATATAGACGATTCGATTAATGACGTTATTCTCACACTTGACTCTAGTACGAGTCTTCGACCAGAGTTTACAAGCCCCGGTGTGGTGTCTGGTAAGTTTGGCTCTCAACATTCTCCTAGGTCTAAAGAAACTTGGATCGTAATCATTTTCAGATGAAACTGGTTTTAATGTTAAAAGCAACGGAATCTCAGATGAATCTTGTTTTTGTGAATATACTGCACGGAGTTTGCTGCATATTCCACTTGGGACGATATCCATGATGTCGGATCATTTTCTGTACGTCACTAACGTTAGGACTAATAAATAAAGGTGATTGTTCGGCCTTTATCCGACAAGGTTAACATACGCAATTTCTATTCATTACCAGCTGCAAAGTGGAAATATTTAATAAGGGATATTCAAGATAACGTGCGTTTTCTCATGATTAGCACCAGGTCTAAAAATTGACACCCTAACCACAGTATCACACGGCGCACGAACACTTATGAAGGACTGACTATCATCCTGGTTGTTCCCGCTGTACTCCACACATAAGCCAAACCGCGCAGACCACTGAGTAGCAGTCCTACTCTTGCTCAAAGGCATTATGAAGGCTAGTGGAGATTTGTTGCCATTGCCTATCTCTGAAATGTAATCCATACCTACTGGTCGGCGTCACCCCCAACAAGTGGCTTATTGTTGCAGTCAACTAGGGATATGAAATTTCCATGATTAATTGTGTCTATCGGTGGGCCTTTCTAAAGCGACCGATCTTGATCCTTCAGTCTATACTAATTGTTGATATAAGTCCTGAGAATAGATGGGAATATTCCGTTGCCAAACTAAGGTTGTATTTTCCATAGCTATCAAGAAATATAACCTTCTTAAAACGTCATAAAGGTCACTAGTTATAAGGACTAAGCGAATATTGAACGTAAAGGCTATCGAAATGAACCAGTTATTCGTAGCGAATACCGCAGTAACTCTGTGTCACTCCGCGTGACATTGTCTCTGATTCAAGCTCGTTCATGCAGCAAATCTGATGCAAAAAGTCAAATCCATTACACAATAACAAAGAACAAGTTCTTAAATGACGGTAGAAGCAAGGTTAACTTCAGTGTAAAACTAGGAAATATGTACACCGTATATGCGTGCGTCCGACGACACAATTATACTTCTCTTGGAAAGGCTTTGCTTTCGCCACTACACGTTGGTTACTACTTGGAACGTTTAGCAAGTAGTCACATAATTCTTGTCTAACTTGTGGCCGTTTAAAATAATTTGCACTAACACATCTCGTCGAGAGGTATGAGGAGGAAAGGAGAGTGAGGTGATTTGCGTACCAAAATAGTTCAGGAACGTTAACTTTCAATACCGGTTTTGGCCGCTTTTGACATCGGTATCCCAAGTATTCGAACATGGGGAAAAGAGGAGCAAGTTGATAAACGTTGCATACCAGTCGGATCACATTGCCACTGCCAATTATTTGCTATGTTAATTTTGAAAAATTTCAGTAAGCAATGAAATATGCGAGGTTTCAGCACGAATTTTTCGCAGAATTTTTCATTCTCAAGTCTGGCAGAACAGCATTATATCTCCTAAAACAATCATAGACCGAGTGGCAACAGTTTTGTTCTTCGTAATAGCTGTGAACGGATATATAAAAGCAATTAATGATTAGGCTGTTCACTAAAAGTTAATGAAGTCTGCTATTAGCAGTCCGCTGCTCAGTCATTTTTCGATCGTCTCATTGGTCAATGGGCAGCACGAAGCCTTGAGCCCCCATTCACATAACAACTGAAAACAGCCTGTCACAAGTTCCAGTCTACTGATTCAGCTAAAGGCTTTTGCGAGGAAGTATAATGTTTGAGATTGCCAACCTGCATGATGCTCTCAGCGCGTCGTTTAGCATCAATGTCTACGATTAGCGCTGCGCCACTGCACATTCTCACAGTAAAAATATATATGGACAAGCTGTTGATGCCAGTATCTTTGCTGCTGAAGAATCCTCAGGCCCGTTGACAACTCATCGAAGGAAAGTAACTCTTCCATCTATCCATCGTCAGTGACTTGTCTCCAAAGGGGTTGACACTAACCATCCCTGGGTTACAAGGTGGCCAAAGACAGGTCGATATTACCGCAGGTAGATAACTTCACTGGCCGTTACACTCTCAAGCTACATAAAGACAGGAACCACCGTCGTTAGCTTTAAATCACGTTTCACTAACTGCGTTATACCAATGGCCAATGAGTAGTCCGCACCAAAAGACTGGTTTATGGTTCTACTTACTCTCGACAGTGCATGTGGACATCCTACATAACTGAATGACACAGGGTAAAATGTATCTAAAATTTTATTTCCATCAAACATTACATCTGTCCATAAACCCATTTATTACAATAGAGATGCTTTCTTCAAAATAAGACATTGAACTAGGCAGTTTTTGCTACGTTCTCTGGTGTTCTGGGAATATTATATAACCTTAAATATATATAAGAAAGACGAATAGACCATTCAAAAGAGCCTTACCGACATCGTGCTTTTATGATTATTTGGGTTACCGTAAAATTTCTGTGCCAAATATGATGTCAAATTTGTTTCACATTTCCTTCAAAACAGACTACTTCAGAAGCAAATTATCAGAAAGATTTTACAAGCAAACTGAGTTTGATCGATCTAGCTGGAAGGTGAGTTTTGGGTAGGGGCAATTCGTCTTTGAAAATGGTTGCCATTTGTCGATGAAATCAAAACAAGCATTCATTCGTGTAGTTTACTGTTACCACGGAAGAATTATCAGGCCTAGTTTTTTGTGTGATATAGGACAATATTGGTAATCACTGAGGAAATCCGAATGAAATATGAAGTTCGAGTATGGTATTTATGGTATTTATGACAACCACGGTTACTATTCTTTGAAGAGATACATGCAGAGTGGATAACAACAGAAGAGAAGGTTGGTAGCTCATCGAACTTGGCCATTGTCCAGAAAGGACAAAATCTGAACGAGGCCCTAACGTCCAGCTTAAAGGTAAATTAGCACTAAGAATCAGTCATGTGAGGGAAAAGACCAATAATTTTCTGTTTCTGGTGAATTTATATTTTCACCAAAACTCGACGGCTATTCATTTGGTGTTATGTGTGGACGTTGTATAACAAACTCGTAGTATCAAATGTTCACTAAGTCAGCAAACCTAAGCGGCAGCTTTTTATGTATGGATTCAGCATGAAAAATCAGGTGAAAGATAAAATCAGACAAGCTGATTAGATAGACAAATTCTAATGGAGTAGTTGCGTAGTTTACGAGTAACTAAGCAGTATAGTGACACGGGAAGAAAATCAGGACAGTTTTAGAGTAATTCAGATATTTTCCTCCTACTTTGAGACAACCTCAGTTTACTGACCGGCGAAAAAAAGAATGTATTCGCATCTAAACGACACAACCAGCTCTGTGTGTTTTTGCATTTTACTTCACTTAGTTTTTCGGCGTGCGAGTTTGTACGAAATGAAGTCCTCACAGTGTATGATAAAGATGAAGAAACAAAAAGGTTAAAGATTACCGGATGACTTATGCTTATTCCTGCCGGACTAAGACAAATACACCACATAAATATTTAGCGCTGTTCGATTGCTAGTCATTTCACAGATTACGCATCTTGGCGTAATCAGGCCTCTCAAATAAAGCTAACACCGAAATAAAGCTTTGTGTTCCCCATTTGAAAGGCTTTCTTTGGCTTTCTTTGGCACGAAAAAACGAGAACAGGCCATCAGTCGAGCCTTTTGGTCATATTACTTGTAACGGCAATCCGTATTTTAGTAGGCAACTACCAGGTTATAAAAATATCGAGGAAGTTATCTACTACTAAGGCGTTGTGCCTGGTGTTAGCCTTGCTATAAATAACTGGTGTACCGCATTACAAGGTCACCTCTGTCAATGGGACTACTACTAAATTGGGTCAGTGAACTTAATGGATTCCCCTGACATTTCACAATCATAAGTACAGTCCAGATGAGGCTTGGTGATTTTTCATCGTACACTAGTCACTTTATGTAATCCTATTCGAATATCACGACGCATCTCTCACAGTACTAAAGCATGCCTTCTGACGATAGTCAAGAGTACCATGTGAATTATCAGTGCTTCTGACCGATTGAAACCTTGCCGGTCGATCGCCCGAAATCAAGAAAATTAGATGAAATGAAGAAAGGTTTTCTTCACAAACCCGATTGATTCAGTATCTGATCGTCTTTGTCCGAAACATTTGAAGAAAACCAACTCACGGTCACCGAACCCAGCCAACGGCCTCCGGCTCGTTATGGAGGATCCCACTTCTTGCGACTTTTAAATTGTTAAAGAAAATTCAACCAAAATAATAAAAGCTGTACTTGAACAAATTCGCACGTGGAAATGCATCCTAAAAGCGAGCTAACTGAAGTCTCAGCGGTCCTGTTAGTTATCAGGACTGCGATGCAGGCGGTGTTTGCCTTTGGGTTCGAACATTATCTACCACAAAACCTACCTTAATATTATAAAGCATGTTATTTCCCTTTCAGTGAAAAGGCCCACAGAACCTCCAATTTCCAACGATTCGACGAAGGACGGAAAATCAACTTGTCCTTGTCTTCTTTGAGCACTGTCATTTCACGACTTGGTGAGAGACTTTTCTAACAAATTGTAGTCTTGGCGTCTCTTTTTGTATGAAGTATGATAGCCGTCTTCATTGATTTGTCAGTCAGTGTCTGCTTGTTCGGCAGCGATTCATAAGTGCGCGACATTTCATTTATTATTTAAGTTGATATTTGAGCCGCATCGTGGGTTTGGACGAAGAAAGTCATTTGAGCAGATATTGTCCTACAGGATTTGAAGTCCCCCGCTGCTCGCTGCAGTGTGCACTGTACGCCATATGAGTGCAATGACAAACAGCCTGTCAGGTAGAGATTACTGGGTACATGGTGTTCAAAATATACAGGTTTCAAAAATACGTCAGGGTTTCTGAGTTCATATTTATCCTTTAATAAGCATTCATCGTAATTAACAACATATAATCGATGTTTAACACTAGTGCTTTGCTGCTCCATTTAGTCAGTAGTAGACCGGCGCTGGCCGGTCTTTGAGCCTCTCGTAGTTGTTTCATCAAGCTTGCGTGCACTCACGTCACAGGATTCCAAGCTTCAACTTAGCTGTCTCCGACTAATCTTAAATCACTCAGCGGAGAAATCATGCTTATTTTTTGGGAGTATCGTTTTTGGAATAAACTGCTAGTGTTTTTAAGCTACGTTAGGCCTTACGGGGACGATGACTGGTGTGATGAACGTGAAAATGTTCTGAAGTACAACATTCTGTACGTAGAGATTGGAAAAGTAGAAAGGTAACTCCTCTCTTGAATAAGAAATTTTTAAACGCAGGGTTATTCCTTGTCAACACCTTCGTCAGAGAGAAACTTACACATTGTCTCAAACTGGGAACTCTGTTCAGAGAATTTTCTGTTTACTGTTTGGGGATAAATGTCAAATATACCTTGCTCAACGTTAATGACTTAGTTCGATCGTTCAACTGCAACATGAAAGGTGTCAGCATAAAATACGGTAACGTCAGGGAGATTCTTTAGCCACAAATTTATTTTACGGAATCGAATGCTTGGCAAGAAAATCTTTGGAACTCTTCGGGTGGTGGCGATTTCATTTGCCCGTAACGCAAAGATGATTACTTAATAAATTCCGATAATTAAATATTTGTTGGAACTTGATAGAAGTTATTCCAGGAGTTTCGGGCCATAAAGGTCTCATCTGTATAGATCCTGTTAAAGACGAAATAATGGTGTAATGTCCTTGAATAAATCTGAGTTACACATGTGTGCGGTTATTGTATACCTGAAATAGCTTCTTTAGCCGAAGTGAAGACGCGTGAAGGAGAGGAACCTGAAGAATCAATTTGTGGGATTGATGATTAAAACAGTTGCAAACCATAACGCTGTTGTTGTGAAGCATTTGACCTTAAACAAGGTGATATCATCAGTGCGTTTTGATGCATTGTTGCGAGTAGCGGATTGCAAATTCCAGTGGCAAGCCCATACTCAACCGACCGACGGTAGAACTTGTCGGCTGACAAGACAAGACAGCGTAGCAACGGGAAAACAACTTTAAGCCAGCAGGCGATCTCTATTCGCGGCTCAAACAGACAATCACTAAGGCTGACCATTCAAACGAACAATTCAATCGAAAGCCAGCTATGCGCTTATACACACGTGGGACAATGTTTATTAGAGGAAAATGTCGGTAGCTCAGTTAGCGTAGATGGTCGTTGACTTGTTCTCTGAGCTGGGCAATTTATTTGCAATCCAATTGCCCAGCTCAGAAAACAAGCCAACTACAATGTTTATTGTCTAAAAATCTATACGGCGTTGAACTTGACAGGATGTTTGGATTTCAATGTACAATCCCGACCTATTTAAAACTTACTTGGAAGTGCCGACTCCTCTGAGTCTCTGGGTCTGAAAAGAAGTGTCGAATGAAGGTTAAATCAGCCACTAGGCGGCGACCGATGTTGCCTTACTGATTGTGCGTGTCCTGGAAGCGATGAGAACGGAACACTCAACGCCGAGCGGACGGTTCTAATGCGAGGTCAAAATTTCTCGCTTGTTCCTAATAAATCCATTGTGTTCTTGTTGGTTGAGTCGCTTACTAGCGCTAAGGTTATGGATTCGGGATTCGCAGTCAACCACAACAGTACCAAAACGAACGGCCACATCACTGCATAGTTTATTTGAAACACTACCCTGTGTATTGAACGAAGTAGTGTAATGTCTTTAAGTTGTAGATAGTTCCAGTACATGTCTACTTCAATTCCCCGGATTAAAATAATTGGCCCATAGAAACAGCTGGCTGAACAGTGATTTAACAAGTACTGCATTTATCTGCATACAAACAGAAAAGCTAAACATCCACTGAAATTAAAAAGCATTTTAACCAGTGTTCTGGATAAACCTGGCGAATCATTTCATTTAGAGACAGCTATGCACATGCTTCAAGAACCTGAGCGTACGTCTATCAAAAAGACCATAACAGTAATTTCAGTGCAGAGTGGCACAAAACCACGAAAAAAACGAATGATGGTGCAGTGAGTTGGTGAGCAACTATAGATTTTAGTTGCCAAGTGAGTTGGGAGCAAATAGGGCAACCCTATAGATTTTAGTTGCCACTTGTTCGTATATGGGAAGATAGGCTTGGGTTATTGAACAGGCTTTACATAAAGGCACTCTATGTCCATCAGTCTTGGAAGACAGACTTTCTCGGCATGATCGACAGCGAGTATCTTCGCTTCCCTCATCTGGTTTGGGGAGAAAGCAAAATAGTCTTATGGGATGCTGCACAAAGGGGAATGTTCGCGGGACACTTTCGCTCAGCCTGATATGTTCACCATTGTAGGTTCTTAGTAGTCTCACTACGTCTGCAGCACACTTACCAGAGTAACAAGAACCGATAAATTAGTTATCTGATCATTCAAGTGAAAAGAAACAGAAAGGGATTATCTCTTTGAAATGCTTTCGTAGGTTGAAGAGCTTTTGGCTCTCCTGATGTAAAAGATTACGTCGATTGGCGAAGCAAGGTTACATTGATCATCAGCTCCATAACTGGTGGAATGATCTTGTAGATAGTTGTAAAGATATTTGTTGAACAGCAAGGCTGTTGACTCCGAATTTCCTTACAGTGATGTTAAAAAATAGCTACACAAGATATGTGGTGCTGTTCGAACTAGGTCACGATTTTTATTAGGCATAGCAACGATTAGCAATAATGCCACTAAGAGAAAACACCTGCGGCTACATTGCGTTTTCTTTTCGGATAAAAAAAATAAGAGTTTGGCTGCTCAGGTAAAGTAAATACTGACCAGTTTTTCTGGGCTTGGTATTTTTGTTGTAAACGCCTGTTTACCAAGCCAGCTGACATTAAAAGTACCTAGTTGTGTAGTGCTATGCTACTGTGTAGGCCTTGTCTTAGTTAATGCCGAGTGAGGCACACCTAATGAGTTTTTCCTGTCCATACTTGCTTACCAGCTGACAAGTCACAGAAGGACAATCCTGATGCGGATGTGATTACCAATAGCAGTCATTCCACAGTCAACAGCACTCGAAGTTCACGTCAATCGGGACTTCACAGTTCTTCATCGGTCCATATCCCCTATCGAAATTCAAAACTTACATGGCTTCTTAGTGACTCTCTGGGTGGGAACGCACGAACCACCATGATAGCAAGTACGTCAACAAAGTACTTTTACTGTGTAATCTTTCGGTTATTTATTTGTAGCTACTTATTTGTTTCATTCCATTTATTTATATTCGTTTATTTATTACAGCAGAGTGGATAAGACGGAGTTCCGAATCTTTCTAATGAATCGTGTACCACTTATTCGTTACTCACTACTTCCGAACTTTTAAGCGACTTTTCAGCACAATATTTATACGGGTGAACCACACATAATTACGGACAGAGACCTTGAACTTGAGCTTTTGGATTTTATCACAAACTTTGAACAAATGACCTGGAAATCACTCGTCATGATCCAATTTTGATGCTAGCTGAGTCCATATATTCTGTCATGATGAGTGGTTTTCCCTTTTAGACTCGCTTTCTGGAGGCTAAAATTAAATTTGCCGAAACCCGATTACTCATCTTAACAGAAGTACTTCCATCAATGATATATGCGGCCAGGAGGGCAAATATTTGCGTGGGCTGCAAACAAGTGTTTGTGTGTGTCTGTCGTTATGTACTGCTATTCAATCATCCGAGGAATCTACTCAGGAGATTTGTGAGATTCGCACTGCTGACGGTTTCCGATAAGGAAGAAACAACTGTGCAGTGCAGGATTTTGGCACAGATGGATTCCACTCACTAAAAATTCCCTAATCCCCCCGAGCCATCAGCAAATAGGTGGTAACTGTCCATCCAGGCCAGTTGCAGCAGAAGACCGTATGGACGTCGTTATGGCACATCTTGTTGCTTTCCTGCAAGCAGACACCCCGACACAAATTAGCCACTTATTGACTAGCCCGTTGACAAAAGTTCTGTTAAGCGAGTTCCCAGCCTCAAACAGTAAATGCATTCTGGTACAATGTGTTGAAAAAAACTCAAGGACGGTTTGGCTAACTGTAATTTTCCTGTGTTAAAGCTTAGCTAAGCTCATGCCAATTGACCCATCGGGTAACTTAGGTAGAGGTATATGGAATATTCAGTGATAAACTCCAAAGCGCAAAAGATGAAGTTACAAACAATTAATGCACGAAAACTCTTCAAGCCTAGATTCCATGGAACTTAAAAGTAACGTTTTTTTTATATTCACATTACAGAGTGGAGAGGTTGTGGAATTATACGCACAAAATCAATTAAAGCGATCTGAAATACTTTCAGAAAGGTTCACTGATGATCCAGCTCATGGAAGTGCTAGGAGGTTTTGTCATTTCTAATTAAGATTTCGTTCTGTAAGTGAAGTCATTCTATAATGAAAAACCAAGAAGCCCTGTACTTCTGTTTCATCCTTATTTGGAACCACTAGCAGTGCACAGCTCAACAGAAACTCCATGAAGTCCCCAATCCGCGACTTGTGGTTTGGCTAAGAGCAACCGATTAAACCACATTTAAACGGAGTCTTGTAGAATGCACACTGCTGATTGTTCCTAGGAAGGATGAAACGGCCTTACAGTGCTTATGGGCTTTTCAGCGTAGACAGACTTCCTTTCCAGGATGAAATCTCAATTGAAGAATTCAGTTGCCTTTGACGTTACGTAAAATTTGATCACTGCTATTTTAAGATGGACAGTGTCTTACTCCTACAGCCTGCATGCCAAACTCTGATCCTTAAGTTAAACTTCGATTATTTCGACTCCATTTGAAAGCACAATTTAAACTGTTGTTCTCACCAAAACAGATACGTTCATTTGATTACACACTACCTTCCTGTAGAAAGGGTGGCCGAATGCAGTAGTCAAGCAAAAAGTGGTTGCACTTTAAACGTCGTCAGCTTAATGCTGACTTGTGATCAAGTTGAGCATTTTATTTTACGCTGCTCCTCGAAACACCAGTTTCACTGTCCGCCCAAGATAATTACAAAATGTCCAGCAGATAGGCGTTTCGCGAAGACTAAATAAATACAAGCTAAAGTCGGATTCACTGATGTGTGAATATTCCGCTTCCAAACGTTTGAATGCTCTCTACAGAAACAGTTAGAAACCACAGATAAAATACGATTAGCACAGATAATTTTGCGACACCGAATTGTGGGACTATCTGGAATCACCAGTAGGTCTGATGCCATGAAGGTAATCTGTGGACCCAATAGTTGTGGAGTTTTGTATAATTTGCTTTGATGATCAGCAGATGAATTGTACGTAGAAATTTCACTCAGAAAATGTCTACATATTAACGAATACTGGTCGCATAAGCCAACTTTTGGCCTGAAAGGCCTAATCAAGTTCATTGCCAAAAGTGGTAAGTTCCTTTGAACGACGTTGTAAGGGCGTTCATAGGTCATCCCCTGGTCCTACAGTACAGTATACGTGTGCTCGCAGGCGGTTGACAAGATGTATCTGGGCCGTCTGCACATAATCCCCAGCTGGGATTAGCAGGATTCAACAATCTTCGATTCCTGGAGTCACTAAAGTCTGGTGTGTACTCTCATCTGGCGAACACTGGACAAACCCTACCCTGAAAAGTGGACCAGGAAAGAGCCATTCTAATCCACGTTCTTTTTCTTGAGACATACTAATGTCACTCCTTCTGGAAAGAATCATCCAACGTAAGGAAAAACATTTGTACAATAGTCTGTAAGACTTGTGATTAGATAATTTAGGAAACAGAAACAACCTTTAGGGACCAAAATAATAGGACAACCTCAGTCCTGCAAATCCGAAGGATGGCTGCCGAACTGAATAAACTGTGACAATTCCTAATATGGTGGTCAGTACTTGTCTAGCAAATAAAAGACAGTAAAGACACTAAATGTCTAAGTTATTTTTCACTGTTGGCATGAAATTGTATTAATGGTTGTTGCGGTTGACAAACAAACACGACATATAGTACGACCAAATTGCCCGCGCAAAATTCAGCCAATCGGGAGAACAGCATGAAATATGGGTGGAACAATGGTTGATTTAACTGCTCTAGTCTATGTCAAGAATGAGTCCCAGTGGGCGTTTTCTAAATCACATTCAGTCGCTTGAATAGTAATTCGGCTGTAATAGACTAGTTAGGCAAACAATTGCCCTGTGGTTAGCAGAATTTCATAATCCAGATATTCCGGCTTCGTTACAAATAGAAAGCAGTCAAGGTCAGGATGTGAGGCGACTTGCGTATTATGATCGTACATCAGCAGTTATTCTTGTAATGTGGCATTTGACTAGAAAATCAGAGCTGGATACTTGCAAAATTCCAATAAGTAAGGGTCGAACTAATGAGTTAAAGCAGTCAGGATAAGAGATTGAAAATACATGAAAAAGCAATCGACATTACGTTGATAAAAATGAGTCAGAAATGGCATCATGGTGACCGATTATAAACTAAACGTAAAGCAAGCTGCATTCGAAGAACGATGGGACTGTGTTATGGTTAAATGCGGGCAAGCTGATAACTGAGAAGAAAGCGGATGCTTGCTTCACTTCACAAACACATCCCACTTCTCACTAATGCGGTCATGTGCTTTGTTTTGGTCTGTGTAAGTGCTAATATCTTCCATGCATAAATCACTGGCAAACCAGAGAGCAGACAGTTGGCATAAAAAGGAAACTTATGTAGGACTCATGTACTCGGTCTCCTTGTGCCAAGTCCAAGTGGTACTTCTCTAAGCGCATAGAAATCTTATAGCTATGGCTGCCTAAGGGTGTCAAAGTAATTTGTACACCAATCAGTTTTCAGAGTCAGTCTTTAGGAACTGTCTTTCTCCTTTGCCTACCAATTCTGTTTTCACGGGGGACCCAAATGAATCGCTCGTTTATGGTGCTCTTCAATTAAACTTCCCGCTGCCATATTTGCGCGGCAAAAAGTACTGCTTATTTTGGGGCTTGATGCACACTCCAAATTTGAATTTCGTTGGCGGTTACTCCATCATTTAAGGTATAATTCTGTGTCTCCTATCGGGTTTTTACACGAAAAATTACTGATGCGCATTTTAAGATGATGAAAAAACAAAAACCTAACAATAACTGTTGTCGTAGTTTACCGACTGCGTGACCTGTGGCCTCATTATAGTTCACAGGTTTTATTGAGCTTTAAACTTTAGAGGCAATTTTGTAGATAATGAGATGTTTATATTTCAAACGCAGTTGCTTGCTGCAGATGAAGGCAAAGTACTCTAGAAAGTGAGCAGCATAGCTCAGGTCATTTCTGTTGAGAAGTGGATAACCAGTGCACGTCTTGCTTACCAGTGGGAAGATCCGAACCCAACATATACGATATTATTTGGTCACGATTGGCTAGTCAACAAGGCAAACACAATTGGATGGGACGTTTCAACAATGTTCAGTTATGCAGCATCACAGCATAGCTCCATCTTCCTCCATTTGGTTGAAGACTTTTGACATAAAGTAGAACCATTTTTTTCAGAACGAATAACCACCACGACTCAAAAAAATTATCAAACCGTACCTCATTCACAAACTTCACTTTTCCGTTTTATCAACTGGCCACTTTATTTGTTAATTTGCTAGCGGCATCTTTCTGGAAGAACTTTGATCGGGAGCAAAATCTACTAATATACTTTTTGCGTAACCACAATAGATATGGTCACCATGCAAGACGTGGAACTAATAATTGATGTTAGCATCCCTCTTAGGATTTGGGAGCGTTAGTCTTTCACTGTCTGGGAAGGATTGGCTGCGCAATGGGATTGGCTTTTGCCGTACAGTATCACCTATTCACTTTTGTTCTCGGCACTGACTGCTACTCACTTCGCACTTTTCAACGCCATTCTTGCCGTCTATGTTACCAGTTATTCCGAAAGATACTTCGCAAATGTAGGACAATCTACCAAATTTATGATACCACAAAGAAGCGATAGTTACGGCGTGCTCTCAAATTGTACGCGTTCAAAATAATATCTCTCCCCTTCTTCGACTCAGTGCTCTTGTTTTAAGTGTGAAAGGGAGGTTTTTATTCATAGTTACCTATCTAGACCGCTCGAAGTAGTGTGGAAACACGCCATTTTGGCGTCTTCAGATTCAAGAAACCCAGAGGAGTTGGTCAATTCATTCAATGTGTAAGAAACTAAAACGACAGGTTTTCCTCATTTCCTTGAGCTCCAGTTTTCAAAAACCGTATGAGTCATTTGAAAAGCTTGGACAGGCATCCAAGTATAATGAATGAAGAGTTAAATTTTCATCGATCAGTATACGTTAGGTGCGCCGTAATCAAAGACTTGAGATGCTGGCGCACTACAGAATGCAAAATTAAGACAACAAAATGATGCATTTTCACTAGATTTTTACCTGCCACGTGGATGTGGTAGATATTTAGTACATTATCATAAGTAATTCGCTCGTAAGATTTTACTATCCACGCAACTATTTATATACATTTTCTTCTTTTATCTAGCACTATCCCCCAGCTATTTACAATACCAAGAAACCTTGAACACGCTACGTTACGCCCAGCAAGCGAAACTCATTGTGAACCAACCCAAACTGAACATGGTAACGTCTTAATTCAACTAAATGACCTAGTTTTGGCATATTCTTGAAGGATTCGAGTGCAATTTATATCCGTCAACTACTGGATGAAATTACTGTATTAAAAAAACAGTTGCATGAACGAAATCAATGCCTTCGATTTCCGGTAAGACCTATGTTTCTTTTGGTAGACCTCGCAGATGTCCAACGATGGGATCCGTCTGCATGCCTTTGATACTTTCTTATTTGACTTTCTTTTGCTGTGCTTATTTGCTCTAGTTTACATTGCCTTAAAACAATAGCTAGTCCCAGTGTGTTTGGCCCATGACATGTGGATGATTCTGCTATACTAAGTCGTATGATTCATTTTTCACTGTCGAAATTCCCGTTTACGTGATATCTACCCTACAGTCCAGGTAAGTAATACAAGTTGTGAAGCTCGCAACCCAAGGGAGGTGTATGCGAAATCTCGGCAGTTGCATGCGATGACATCGATTGAAGGGATGTGTTGGGCAGTGAGTTTATTTGCCAATTTTTGATACCTTAACTAACGATTAAAGCCTTAATCGTCTCAAACCACCTCGCACGCATCGTAGGGTTGTCAAGTGTGAAGCTGTCATCAATTTGTTGTCAGTTTTAGTCAACGCAGATGTTGAATCAAATGACACCTTTGTCTGAGTTATATTTCATGTTTATGCAGTCGTGGAAACTCTACATGATCAAATCTGTTCGTGCATGTAATAAATCCTGATGCATTACGATTAATTTGCATCCACTCTACCATCCTGTGGCTCACACGAGTTGTAGGGTTCGGTGTCGAAACATCGAGGATAATAAAAACGCCAGGTTGGAAAACATTTAATGGAAACCACTGTTTCACGTTGTTGGATGTGGTTTAGTGGCTTTTCAGAGCAATAAATCGAGACGGTCATGGAACATTGGATATCAGGTTTAGCGAATTTGTGACCGAGAGAATGTTATGCCACCAAATGTAATTCGGTGGTTTGGTGCGGTTGATTGATAAAATGAGAACATGGGAGATAATCTAACAATGACTGCAATTAGTTCACATACATTGTAATCATTTATGAAAGCAACATTCTATCCTGAGATCCATGCTGGAATTCTTTAGGATGGTTGATCATCCATTGAAGGCAAACACATTTCTTATCGGCCACTTATTGATTAAAGTCGATGTGTCAAACTTTACTGGATTGTATTCCTGAAACGATTCGGGGCTCATGAAGTAATACACTAGGGCCTTGACAATGAACGAATACCGGCTTTGCATGGTTCGTCTGCAGAACGTCCCTCAAATAATAATTACAAGTCTGCACTTCTGCAAAAAATCCCACAGCTTTGCAAACGGGGTCCATAGTTTCCAAACGAATGTCCCAAATTTTGTAAAACAAAAACATGTTCGGCCGTAGCTCCGTGTACCATTCTCTCATTCATCAGGCTGTTGATGGTCAACTCACATTAATAAAACGAGGTGTTAGCGCAACAAAAACAAAGGGTAGGTAATCGAAAATATTTTGATATTTAATAAGAACGTGATCTAATCGTTCCAGAAAATCATTGCATTTATTTCTCGTCCTTTTTTGTTTTACAAATGTGTCAGAAAAGCTTTTAATACGCCGGGGAAATTAACAGAATTCTTCCGCTGTTTTTGTTTTTTGGTTTTAAAATGGCCATCTTTTTTAGTAATTTTATGTATAGTCATCCGGATTGACAAACGGTTTGGACAGTGCACATTTCGATCAGTCAAATTCTACCTTTACTTGTAATGGGAGAAAGATGAGAATGTAGTGGCTATTCAGGGACCAAAAGTGTAATATTAGAATTTTTCATGGTTTAATCGGGACTTTCTTGATTTTTCTCAAACAACGGTGCTTTTCGGGTTTACTTTACCTGTGCCGCTCAGCTGCAGGCGTTGATGCTTACGTCTCAAAAGTTACGGTCATTTAATCACTGATGTGTTCGGAGATATGACCTATATTTATTATTGAATGAAGTAAAACACGTGACTTGTTGCAGGGCAATCATATTGGCAGGAACGTTTATGTCTGGATCGATTTGAGACTTACCAACAACTTTTGCATTTACAGATCAGTCAATCAACGCCACGTTCTTTGGGTCGACAGCTCTCTGGACGCCGGGTTAATTCTGAAGGAGATGTATGTTTCCTTGCCTAGCAATTTGCAGTTAGTCCCAACGAATCAATTTGTTACCTCATTTTGTGATTCATTCAATAGAGTTTGTTTGTCACATCCAACAATCCCCACCGTTTGACAACTATACTATCCGCAAGCTGCAAAATTCCATACTGTGCGAAACACAGCCAACCCATTTTTCCCCTTTTTACGCATTGGCATTCTTCCGTTCTTCCAATAGATTACATAAGTTCGAGAAATGTCACAAAACAATGGTTTGTGTTCGGCTCCAAGGTCTTTAACACTTATTAGAGACAGATGAACATACATCACTATCTCAGCTTAAATCAGAAGGATCAATCAGCTTTGAATTTCCTCTTCTTAAGAATCATTGAAGAACACTTTTAGAACGATAACAGATCACAACATATTGTTCTTATGGTCTAGAAGGTGAAAAGAATTTCTTTCTTTCGAAGAGTGCAAACAGGTCCAAACTCCAAGTCCTTGTTCATTCAGTGCTTTCATTAGTCAGGGCGACTTAATCTGGACAAGGCCAAGAGCGCTAATCTTCTCTCACTAAAATTTCATGGTCCTTCATTACCTGGATCACATTCAAGTTTGAATTAAGATCCACTGCATATCCTTTATCATAATCTTGGTGAGCTTTGCAAAAAAGGCACTCAATCCTTCAATGATCATCTAATTCACGTCTGCGCAGAACTGGAGGATGTTGAAAACTACATAATGAAAAGCTGGAAGTTTCGGAATCCCGACTTTATGATTGTAGGCGAGTGTTTCAGATGAGAGCATGATCTGTTGTTTGGAGGCTGTAGCCTCGTAGTTGGCAGAATTTCCAATCAGGACAAATTTGACTGTCTAAATTTTCTTTTTGTGTCCTCGGCTCCTCAATATGGATTTCTTCCTATCAGTTGAGCTGATCTATGCCGAAAAGCTAAGAAGCACTGTACAGCTCTTTACCCTTGTTGGAAGCATCAGCAGAGAACACCTTACAAAACTGTAAGGGATTTTGACTCCCCGACATTCCAGCTACTACTCGAGTAGCTGGCCGTTAAGCTACAAACAGCTGATTAGCAGTATGACTTGCTATCTCTTGTCAGCCACTCGTGTCCAAGCGGTTAACAGTTTAAGCACTGGTTGGGAGATCGCAAGTTCAAAACCCCCCGTAGTTTCGTGAAATGCGCACTTTTGATGATTCCCAAAAAGAATGAAACAGTGCTTACAGTGCTTCTCGGCTTTTTACCACAGGTAAGCGTAATTATTAGGATAAAAGCCCCATGGAAAATAACCCCATCTCACCGCACCACCACATTTTATTCAGTCAACGGTGATTAGCTGACAACTTTGATCTTAGGCCTCGTAATGATCTAGCCCAGCACTTTTAGTAAAACACATCAATCACTATGTTGCGCTGATGCTTATATGATTTCTCCTCATGCAGTTGAGAAATTTGAGTGAAAGAAAATGCCTGAACGCATCGGAGTGCATCTCTACCTGTAAGTATTTTGGTAATAGTCATATATTTACATCATACCAATTCAAGTTCTACCAGCGGAAATGGTTGCAGTTAACCACGCATACTAACAGTTAGCGTGCTAAAAATGACCGTACTTTAAAAGTAAACCAATACTAGTGAATTTGCATGTAAGAAGATAACACTGGCCATCATAAAATGTTCAGGCGCACCCAGACAACAGAACATGCGCACGTTGCTGTATGGTGGTTCGTACTGTCGCCGAACATCAGCAGTTGCACTGTAAAACTGGTGTCCAAACTCGGCGGGAACCCAGTTTCTTCAAGATAACACAGTCTTGATGTAAAAGTAAGGCAGGATTCAAGGAGAAAGGTAACAGACAGTACCACAGCCAGTGTTCTGAGGTCTTGCATAGATCAGAGCTAAGGCAGTTCACTTGAAAGAAACTAGAATTAGTACTACCACTATGATCAGTTTGTGTACTTTTTGTTTTACGTGCTCAGACGGTTCATAGATAGTTGTGCGGGGCAAATCTGTAAGTTCGAGCATGCTTGTGTGCAGAGTTTCGGTCTGCCAGTCTTTCTGTTAGATTTAATTTGGACTGGGATAGAAAACAACTTCACTCAAATCAAAGATGGATTAAAATGAGCACCACACAACGAAGCCACAAAAAATTTACTGTGTTGGATCCAGTGTTGCAGATAACCACACTACGTATTAACAAAAACATTCATCGGCTCAAGCAAGGGATTTGAGGAATAGATTCCTACAAACTTGATCACGCCTCAGATTCTCCGCGGACAAAGGACAGGTTTTGCTATTGCAGGGCATTACACTCTGCTTCATCTGGGGAACTAGTCAGACAGTTGTGGAAATAATGCCTCGCTGATGCTGTTAGAAATCCACCCAGAGAGAACTTGAGTAAGTGAGGCTTACTTTTTTGAGGCGCAATTTTTGTAAAAAAGAAAGAACAGAGAAAACAGTTATACAAAACAAAACGTTTGCGTTGATTTTAGACTCACTTTGACAGTAAAACATAAATTTTGTCCGGAAAAAGAAAGGTTGTCCATGACAAATCTCAACCTGTACTTTCTAAGCTATTATGAAGCTACATGGTCTGGATGGTTTTGCATGGTTAGAATTGTAAGTTGGCCTTTATCAACATATATTGACCTGGAAAGATACCTGAAGTTTTTTTAAGGATGGTGAGAATCAATTGATACAAGCTGGTCACAAATTCAGCTACTCTGAGCTAGCGCAGTGATATTTATGGGCTGTTTTGTATCTTGCAGCTGGGAAGGTCTTGATGAGCCGGAGCACCTCACCTCGGCCGTTTTCTCTGGCACTTGATTGCTGGGAGGTACGTCCTTACTTAGGTTTTTCACTGTTGCTTGGCGTTCATTTAGTTGCCTAAGAACTAGATATAATTTGCAGGGTGAAATTCACCCACGTAAGTAAGGCCTTACTGTCATTACAGTAAAACTAAATTTTACGCTTCACTTGTGACATCATTTTAGA